CGCACCGCCGACCCCCCTCCCTTGGACGCGGCAAGACTGAGAGGGGCAGCCTTCAGCTGCGAGGGGGTCTTCCCGTGGTCTGTGGATGCCTCCGTCCTGGTCGCGCAACCGACCCCTCCAGCTGACTTGAGCCGACGTCCAAACGGCTCCCGCCTTCCGCCCGCCGCCCCCCCTGGGCTCGACAATATTGCACACGCAGAAGGCGGGCCTTCTGCCCGGGGAGAGCTGCGCGAAGCAGCAGGAGTTCCTCATTCCTTTCAGCGTGTGGCACGAGCTCAAGCTATCGCATTGCCAGTCGCCGGGGCTGTCGGCCACCACCTCATATCCCATTGCTCCCCCCCTGGCAACAGCATCGCGGCGACAGGTGGGAGGGCTGCCGAGGGGGCGCCAGCGGTCGGAGACCAGCCTCCCCCCGACAAAGACGCCCCTTCAGCCCGGGGAGCACCGTGCGAGACAGCAGGAGTGGACGATCCTGTAGCTCGGGATTCTTCAAATGGACAGACGGACGTTGACGGCGGCACGGCTGCCAATCAGCTCCCTGGCCATCCCTGTAATCCCGATGTCTCCCGTCTCTCATCCGGCCCCCAAGCTGACAGGCGCAGACGGGGCGAGCCTTCAGCTCGGGAGTCACAAGCGGGACGAGCCTTCAGCTCGAGTCTCCAAGGCGTATCTGACAGTGACAGAAAGGGCGAGCCTTCAGCTCGAGAACCAGAGACGACGCCCATGGATGCCGAGAGCGCCGTAGAGACTGTGGCCATGAGTGGCGGCGGCATTCTCGAAGATCGGCTCAGGAGCTTGTCCAGCGAGGGTGGATGGCCTGCGCCTGAGGCTGCCCAGTGGGGTGGCGGCGGTGTTGATGGGTGGGTGGACCGACCGCTGTCCGCCCACGTCCCCGATCCAATCCATTGGCTCACGCCCGCGCCCCGCCAACCCCCCTCCCTTGGGCGCGTCTAGACAGAGAGGAACAGCCTTCAGCTGCGAGGGGGTCGATCCTTGGACTGTGGAGGCCTCCGCCCTGGTCGCGCAACCGACCCCTCCAGCTGACTTGAGCCGACGTCCAAACGGCCCCCGCCTTCCGCCCGCCTCCTCCCCCAGGCACGACAATATTGCGCACGCAGAAGGCGCGCCTTCAGCCCGGGGGGCGCCGCGCGAAGCAGCAAGAGTGGACGAGCCTGTAGCCCGGGAGTAGTTAAATGGGCAAATGGACGGGAACGTGCGGCCTTCAGCTGCAATAGTCCCCTGGGAGAGCCACCAACCGAACAAGTGGTCGTCTGCCACAGCGCGCCGGCGCCTCCCCGTCCACGAGACAACCATGCAGGCGCTCCTACAGCCCCTCAATCCTATCAGCGCCCCGGGGGCGGTCTCGGTGTAGAGTCGAAGATGTGGCATGTACCTGGGTGGAAGTGAAGGCGCGGGCAGGGGGCGCCAGGCGGCGAAGGGCCACGCTGGTCGCCGCGCACCCGGGAAGGACCAGAAACAATGGAAGGTCGTCGCCTAAAGCCGCGGGCGCCCCGCCCTTGTTTCACCCTATTTCACTCTCTCTGGCTTCTCCCGGCTTCCAGTGGGCGGCCGTAAAGCTCCCTGGGTTTCTCTAAAGTCCACGCTCTGCGCAGCCTTCAGCTGCCTCCCTGGGTTACGTTTCGACGGACCCGCCTGGCGGCATCCTGCCGCCCCTCCTGGTACGTGCACCCCCTGCCTTTGGATCCAAGTGTGTGTGCGTGTGTGCCAGCAATACCGTCCACGCTGCAATCTCGTGTTGCGTGTGGCCATAGTGGCCCCTGGCCCCACTGAGGCCCCACTGTAGCTGTTTCCACCTTGCCAGGCTCTGCCTGGCACGCAGCTCTGAGTCCGACGACCTGGTGGTTTTCGCCCCGTCATTCCCAGATCTGCGCCTCTACTCCCTGGGCCTCCCATGTTACTACGGCCTTCAGCCGTGCATCTCTACCTTTCCTGAGAGCGACACTGGGCACGGATGTACAGGCAGTCCTTCGTCGTGGGCCGCCCCGCCGTGGTGGCGGAATGCCCGCCTGGTCCGCTTGCACCTTACTCTGACTGGGCCGCTGGCGTGACCCCGTGAATGGCTCCCCCCCCAGGTTGGCCGTGCTTTGCCACCCTGTGGACAGCGATGCACGGTCTCGGCGTGTGACGGGCACTCGGTCTCCCTATCGTCGCTCCCACGCGCAACCTCGTTGTGCGACCGCTCCCTGGGACTCTGTGACCATGAAGGGCTTGCTGACGTGGGTATGCGGCAGTTTCTTCCTCTTCGAGCACTTTCCTCGACTTTGCATTGCGTGGGTTGCGAGGCGCTGGCTGTCACTTAGTCGTTTGGTACACGCCCACTTCCGATTGACCGTGTGTCCCTCACCTGGTGGGTACTCGTGTACTTCTGCACTGCGGCACACCATCTACTGGTTTTCTGCGTGCAGGCGCATCTCTCAGCAGTTGTTTTGAGGTTGTCCCAGATGTCTTTGACCTCAGGCTCACCCTATCAGCCGCGGATGCGTTTTCTGAAGCTGCGACGGTTCGCTGGCGCTGTCAGAATCCCCCTCCTTGCTGGACGACGTCAGCTACGCTTTCGGTCTGCTCATACCCGACAGACTCCCTGGGCTGACGTTCTCGCACGGAGTTTGGTTCCCACCACCATGCGGTTGTCGGTTGCCACGACAATGACTGGGAACGTACGGCGCGCCATTTTGGCCGCGTCCGCTTTGCTTCCTTGGTGACTGACCCCTCGGACTCCCTGGGTTGCAGCTTGCACGACCGCCTGGTTTGCTGCTTGCCCCGCCGCCTGATCCGCGGCCCCCGCGCGCGCCCGGGAATCCGTCACGGCCGCAGCCCGACCGTGACTGCTCGCCGCCGGCGCTTCCGCCTGCGGCTGTAAAAGAAAGAATCCCCACCAGCCCATCCAGAAACGATGCCCAGAGGAATTGCCTGGATCAGGGAAGTGGGCAGCACACAGAGGAAGCCATTATGAGACATCTTGGGGTACCTGGAGCCATCTTGGAGGTCATCTTGGGCTCCCCCAGGCGCTCTTGGAGTCATCTTAATCAGTGCTCCCCCCCAAGAGGCCACCATGTGGCTAAAACCCTCGTGAAATCAATGATTTGACATTGTCGCCGAGGCCTCTTGGAACAGTTTGTGTGCCTCTGGGGGTTCTCTTGGGGCCTCTTGGGGGTCTCTTGGGGGCCTCCTGGGGCCATCTTGGGCCAACATGGGGCCAAAACCTTAGTAACACCAGTGAGTTTGGCGTCCTCGCCGAGGCCGTTTTGGCATTCTCGCCGAGGCCTCTTGGAGCATCTTGGGTGCCTCTGGGGGGCCTCTTGGGGCCTCGTGGAGGTCTCTTGGGGGCCGCCTGGGGGCCTCTTGGGGCAATCTTGGGGCCATCCTGAGACCTCTTGGGACCTCCTTGGCGCTTCTTCGGGCCATCTTGAAGGAGATCGATCAAACAAGAGTGGAGCATTAATTAGCGTCACCCCCCCCCAGGAGGCCATTCTCGCCAAGGCCTCTTGGAGCATCTTGGTTGGGTGCCTCTGGGGGGTCTCTTGGGGCCTCTTGAGGGTCTCTCGGGGGTTTCCTGGGGGCCTCTTGGGGCCATCTTGCGGCCATCTTGGGACCTCTTGGGGCCTCCTGGGCGCTTCTTGGGGCCATCTTGGAGGAGATCTATCAAAGAAGTGCGGAGCATGAATTAGCCTCGCCCCCCCAGGAGGCCAAAGTGGGGCCAAAACCTGAGTAAAATCAATGAGTTTGGCTTCCTCGCCGAGGCCGTGTTGGACGCTCTGACACCTCGCGGCCCGCCCCCCTCCAGGTCCATGGGGAGGGGGTAGGGGGTGGGGTAAACCCCTCCCCGAAGGGGAAGAAGGAGGGGTGGAAGAGGAAACGCCCTAAACCACCGACGCCCAGAGGGCTGGTGGGATTTCCCTTACAGGTTCGCAACTGCTGCGGGACTGTAAGGCGTCCCCTCTCGGGATGGGGCCCTTTGGTGAGAAGGGGTCGCTGAGTAAGGGACTGCGCGTATGGTCCGCTCGTGGCGGCGTCGGCGAAAACCAAACAATGTGCCAAGATTGAGACGATCACTTCAAGCCAATCAACGCCCGCAACATGGCAGCACGCTTGTGCTCTTCCACCTCGTTCTTACTCCTCTTCGTCCTCCTTGTATATCCTTGTCACCGGAGCCCCCAAGAATGTTCAAGAGGCAAGACGGCAAGTCATGGATCCAGCGCATCTTGCTATACAGCACAAAACACTCGATGCATGGCAATCCTCCCCCTCTTCTGTTCCTCCCCTCTTTCTCCTACGTGATGGGGCACTTTTTGACGAGTCCGCACCATGATGTGCTCAAGCCCGCCGAGCGAGGCGCCAGCAGAGGTGCCTCGCTGACGGCATGCAACAGAGAAAGAGAGACTGGGGGCAGGTCCTCATCCTTGTACAACGTCTCCTCCTCCTTCTCATTCTCCTCCCATTCCTCCTCTGAAGGAACTCGTCCGTCACCACGTGCACCACACGCCCCTGTTAGGCGCAACTAGACGATCAATGCCCAGCTGGCATCCTAAAATGCCGGCTCGGCACGATGCCGACTCATCGTACTCTTCCTCTTCCTTCTACTCCTCGTCGCACTCCCTCCATCTGCCCCTTTCCCACCTCCACCCCTCCCTCCCACATCGCTCCTCCCTCGCCTGACCATCCTCCTGCTCTTCCCCACCCTCATTCTTCTCCTTCCCCCCTCATCATCCGCCCTCTGCTTGTTACTCGGCCCCTAGCCCCACTGGCCTATCGGACTGGAGGAAAACGAAACGAGGGACGGGATGATAACCCCAGCCAGCGTGGATGTCCCACCCCGGGAAGGCTCAACTCTGGGGATTCCAAAGCCGGGCCGTCTCTCCTGATCTTCATTCGCATCCGCCCTCCGTCCCTATCTCTCAGTCGCACGCCTGCCGTGCCACCCCGCGCAGGTCATCCGAATAGGTCGAAGTCCACGTCCTCCTCCTCTTCCTCCTCGACAACTACTCTCTTCTCCTCCTTGAGAGGATCCTCAAAGCAATCCCACCAGCCCTCTGGGCGTCGGTGGTTTCGGGCGTTTCCTCTTCCACCCCTCCGTTTTCCCCTTCGGGGAGGGGTTGACCCCTCCCGGCCCCTCCCCCTACCCCCAGCCCATGGACCTGGAGGGGGGGGCCGCGAGGTGTCAGAGCGTCCAACACGGCCTCGGCGAGGAAGCCACACTCATTGATTTTACTCAGGTTTTGGCCCCACTTTGGCCTCCTGGGGGGGCGAGGCCAATTAATGCTCCGCACTTATTTGATAGATCTCCTCCAAGATGGCCCCAAGAAGAGGTCCCGAGATGGCCCCAAGATGGCCCCAAGAGGTCCCCAAGAGGCCCCCAGGAGGCCCCCAAGAGACCCTCAAGAGGCCCCAAGAGACTCCCCAGAGGCACCCAAGATGCTCCAAGAAGCCTCGGCGAGAATGCCAAAACGGCCTCGGCGAGGAAACCAACATCATTGGTTATACTAAGATTTGGGCCCCATTTGGGCTTCCTGGGGGGGGGGACGCTGATTAATGCTCCCCTCTTGGTTGATCGATCTCCTTCAAGATGGCAAAAAGAAGCGCCAAGGAGGTCCCAAGAGGTCCCAGGATGGCCCCAAGATGGCCCCAAGAGGCCCCCAAGAGGCCCCCAGGAGGCCCCCAAGAGACCCCCAAGAGGCCCCAAGAGACCCCCCAGAGGCACACAAGATGCTCCAAGAGGCCTCGGCGAGAATGCTCAGGTTTTAGCCACGTGTTGGCCTCTTGGGGGGGAGCACTGATTAAGATGGCTCCAAGAGCGCCTGGGAGAGTCCAAGATGACCTCCAAGATGGCTCCAAATATCCCAAGATGTCTCATAATGGCTTCCTCTGTGTGCTGTCCACTTCCCTGATCCGGGCAATTCCTCTGGCATCGTTTCTGGATGGGCTGGTGGGGATTCGCGAAGCGTCAACAATTTCATGAATGAGGAGGGTTGCGGGAAGATCGCAAAGGGGTCTGAGCATGATCAGAAATTGGTCCTGGATATTGTCATCGTTTTTCGGGCCAATGGTTCCACCACGGACCCCGCCTGGGTCCGTCAAACAAAAAAAACTACTCGGGATGAAACGCTGGTCCTGACGGAAACCCTGGGGCCCTGGACCCGTCAACTTCAGGACACCCATGGCCAGGGTCGTGTGTGTGCCGCAAAGGCCGCAGACAGACCAGACCGGACCCACCAGGCGACCCAGTGGATTCGGACTCCTCTGGAACAAAAGGAGAACCAAAGTCCGCATGGGAGTGGGGGACCACGGGGTCGCCTGATGGGCCGGGTCCAGCCCGTCGGGTGACCGAGGAAGTCGGGGGCGCCGGTCGGGGTGGACAGGCGCGTCGCAGTCGAGAGACGTGGGGGGTCGCAGGGGCCTCTGGTCGCTCCAGGGCACCGGTTGCTCTCTCGGGCGCGGGCCACGGGCGGGTCACAGGCGGCCGGGCCCCAAGTGCCCTCGGGGCGGCGGACGAGGGGGGGGGTAGGGGGGTGTTAGCGAACCAGATGCATGCAGCTCGTTGTCCAAGCGCCTCCCAGCGCCAGAGGCGGCCAGGTATCGAGGGAAGGGCACGGCGGCGGAGTCAGAACCAGCTGCACACAGCACGTTTCGTATCCCCTCCCCCCCGTCCAACCCGACATTCGCAGACAGAAAGCAAGCGGGTCACTGGGCGGACGGGCCGAGGGGAAGCGACCATCAGACCAGCGGCCGAGCTCTATTGGCTCGCGAGCGACGGGCAGATCCATATCCATGCTCTCGCGGTCTGGACTCCGAGACGCGATCCTGTGGATACGCGATCTCGTGGATGTGCTCCGCACGGGAAATCCGCGCAAAACCGCCCTGCATCCACGGGGTCGCGGCCTAGGAGTCCAAACCGCGAATACGTGTCGTCAGGGAGCATGCGGGCCTGCCGCGCTCTGTGGATCACTGTGTCTATCTGTCGGTGCTCTGTGGTCGGAGAGAAGAACGTGAGGGGCGTGTGTGGCCGCCTCCTTCGTTTCCCGCTTGAAAGAGAAGGCCGTAGCCAGAGCGGCCGCGACTGCTATCGTGGCCTATGTGCCACCTGTTCGCCCCTGGAGACCGTTTCACACTTGCGCTGGGGAGAAAAATATTGATGTGCCGGTATGACTGGCGGAAACGGGTCCTGACGGAAACTGGTCTTGGACACCGACCAATTCTTCATCCTGAATCGATTCCTGACGATCCGCTTGCCTCATGACCCGTTTGCTTCAAGACAAATGTCTCCCGCGTTTGTCCCGATCCTTGGGCGCCGCGGCGTCAGCAACGCCGCCGCCTCCACCTCCAGCGGACGCCGGGTGGGCCGCGGAGTACGCCTCGGGGTCCTGCAAGAACAACCGCACCGGCTCCATCTCCTGGAAAAGAAAGTCGGTCTCCGCGCAGAGTGCGCAGACGTTCCGGAACGCGCTGCCGAAGGCGTGGGGAAGGCCTGTTCACGCCGACAGGGGGGCGGGCTAAGCGGTCTTGAGCTCCTCCAATTGGTGGAGGCCGCGCTCAATGCGGCTCCGCCAGGCGGGCGGGCGGGAAGAGCGCGAAGGGGCGGGCAATGCGGAATGTGGCGCAGAGGCACCTGCTTTGGACGAGACGTCTGCGGCGGTGGCCAAGCTGCTCTCTCCGACGTGGGTCGGAAAGCTGGAGCTCTGGCGGTCTCTCGTGATTCATCCGATCATTACGATACGACGATGTGGGAGTGTGGGCCCCCTATCCGTCCCTCCCCCCTCCACCCTGTCACTACGGAGGGACGGAGCGAGGCAGGAGAAGGAGGGGAATGGATGGAACGGGGGAGGGAGGCAGAGGAGAGAGGCAGGATGGGGAAGACGGGAGGATATGGAGACGGTGAGGAGAGGAGGGAGGGGAGGTAGCAGGGAGAGGGGAGATGCGGAGAGAGAAAGGACGGCGAAGGTGAAGGGAGGGAGGGAAGGTAACGGGGCTGTGTAACAGAAGTGAAGCCAGCGCGTTGGCGGATGCAGATGATGGGCGACGCCCCGCTCTACTCGCCTCACCACCAGCCTCCACTTCACCATTATCAGTTTTTTCTCTCTTTCTCTCTCTCTCTCTCTCTCTCCTCATCCTAGGGTAGCGACTGGGGTAGGCTAGAGAAAAGGATCCGCCAGCCCCCTGTGGGGCCATCAGGCTGCGAGGATGAGGGTCGTACTGCTCTGCGCCAGTTCTAGTTTCCAGTTTCCAGTGATACAGTCCTGATTTCTGCTTCCTACTGTAAAATGATGAGCCCCCGAGGCGACGAGCCCCGTTAAATTTCACCATGTTCGCGTCTCCGACGCCGTCAACCTTGCAAGTTACAGTGTTTGGCGCCCTCGAGGCAACAAACCATCGTAGATTACTAATGCAAACAAGCAGCCTCTTCTAAATTACGCAATGCCCGCGTCCCCGAAGCCAGAATCCGTATTACATGACTTAATATCCGCGCCCCCGAGGCCACACAGTTTTCACACTGCTCAATAATCGCGTCCCCGAAGCCACAAACCCTAGCAAATTGCTAAATTCGTGCGACGCTTCTGTAATGATTGAATATTCGCGTCTACGTGGCCATAAACCATAACAAATTACACCATATTCGTATTACCGGGGCCAAGAGTGCTCCAAGGCGCCCGAAGATGGTTCCAAGACGGCCCAAGAGGGCCCCAAGAGCGCTCCAACAGGCCTCTGAGAGCCCCAACAAACCAACATCGTCGATTTTACAAGGGCTGTTGAAGGAGTTTGGGGTGCCTGGATTTTCGGCTTTCCGACGCCGAAGGCCGCTACGATCCGCCACCCCCTGTTGATTCATCACAGGGGTGCCTGGCGTGCTGAACCTTTTCGTTTTTGGTTGTGGCTCTTTCTCCAGAAGAACTCCCCCTGGGGTTTCGGCCCGTCCCGCCGGCCACCTGAAAGGATGCCGAAAATTTGCACACAGGTGGTTGCAAACGGTTGTTCCGTTCCAGACGGCTCCAAGATGGCTCAAGATGGCCTCCAAAGTTTGAAGGGGGCTGGAAGGCCCAGCCAACAGCTTCGCCCCAGGCGAAGCCGAGCTCCAGCTCTGTTGTATCGTAGCGACGATAGTCCCAGTATGAGAGGAAATGCCATCTCAAGCAATAGGAAGATCCTTTTGGTTTCGATAGCGATTGTGTGCTTCGCCGCGAGGCACAGACAAATTGGAGCCGCTTGAGCCGACGCGGCCGCGGGCGCACGCTCGTTTCCACCCCTTACGCCCCTCAGCTCGCTTTAGAGTTGGAGGGGGAGGAAGACGAAGCGTGAGCCCGTCGCCCCTTATACAGCAGGCGTAGCAGCTAACCTACACAGGGACAGAAAAAGGAAGCGGGCCCAAAGGAATGTGGACCCGCTAGCACGTTGCCTCGCATGTGTATGACGCACTTATCAGGCGGCGTCAGAACTTGATGTCTGGCCGGCCCGATATGGAGTATGTCTCTTCAGGTCATGTTTGAAGCTCTGTATACCTCCCATGACTTGTGAGAGAATGTATATGTCGATGCCCCCCTTGGTGTGGCCATCCGCAGTCATATCGCGGTTATCGCACCACTGAATGCTGTGCACGATTCCACGCTCCATCGTCTGTCGCATCCAACTAATATGTCCTAAAGGGGTATCCTCAGTCGGCTTCTTCAAGTCTTTGCTTGACAAGGACTTTAAAACAGACTCAGCATCGATGGTCAGAGTGACCTCGATGCTCAGGCCACCCAACGCAAGTATATCTTTCAACTGAGTGGGCGTGAGCAGCCCCGCGTGGAGCTCGTGCAGAGTCGCAATCGTGGGATAACAGTCCTCCAAATTATGGGCTGCTGCTGGTGTCTCTGCTGAACAACTCGAGCGAACCTGCAAGCGGTGAGACTTGCAGCGCGCAGCAATCAAGTGAACGACAGGCTTGCCAGATAATGTGTTTCCACGTCGTAGCAGGTTTGCCCCGCGAATACCATAGCCGTTGACGTCGTCATCGGCGTCCCCACTCAGGCGTAGATATCCTGAGTCGCTATGTAAGTCGACCTCGCCCGTGGGGTTCATCGCCTGGTAGACGATCTTCTGCGGGCAGGCCTGTAGTTTTCTGGTGATCGCGTTCAGTCGTCGCACTTGAATGTTGGTCGGTTCTTGGACACGTTGTAGAGATACAACATACACAAATAACCACACCTGGGTGATTAGTGCGCATGCCAGCGCACCGCTGAGACTAACAAACATGTCTGCCACCAGCTTAGTTGCTTGAGCGTCAGCGTCGGCGCCGGTTAGTTCGAAATGTTGTATAGGATAGAGCTGTTTGATATATTCATCTGGATCCAAATTTACATTGCCGCCCTCGTCCTTGGTGTATCCCGCAGCACAATTGGTATAGTGCGCTCGTTGAGTTTACACTTACCGAAAGTATCTTCAACGCATTTGACACGTTTGTCAATGGTGTCCTCAGTGCCAGCCGTATTCATGTCATCAACATGCTTGGCCGTGAGCATGTTATTGCTCGTCTCGAACTCCTCGTCGTAGGACGTGGGTCGGAGGCCAAATCCTCCGGTGGTTCTTCTGGGCCTAAGTGAGGAAGCCCGCGGGGCATCTTTAGTGCTTGTGCCCGGTTTCAAGCGCTGTAGGCAGTGCTTTCACTCGTCGTAGCGCTCGAATCCCGAAAGAGCACGGAGCACGGCGGCCGATCCAGGCGGCAAGGTAAAACACACCACGCGTTCCTTTTCACCAGTAGCTTCAGCAAGTTCCTGATAGAGCAATCCCTCCAGGCAAGCCATGTTGACGTCGAGGGAAGCAATGGTCAAATGCTTCTTGCACGCTGCCGTGCTAGCGAGCATCCTCTGGTTTGACCGTCTTGCCGTTCCCGAACATGTTTCTACTTCGAAAACTTCCAGGTCCATGAAGCCTCGGAGAACCAAGCGTAGCCGGATGGTACGTTCATCTCGCCCTTCTCGTTCTTCAAGAACTTTCATTCGTGCACGTATCTCGGAGTCATGATGTTCGACGCATTTGTTGTCGAACCATGTCTTGAGCTCAGTGAAGAGGGCCTTCGATACTTTATCGGGGTTCGCCTGGATGCCAGCTTTAGCGAGGAGGTCGTCTTCCTTGACGGCCGCAGCTCGCTCTGCAACGCGGTAACGTATACTCGCATAGTGGTCACCCGGTCGGCATCAAATATCGTGCGTTGCTGCTCAGACAAGAGTACCTTCGACAGTTCTGTCGTAAGGCATAGCTCAACGTATCGACCATTTTCGTCTGAGTCGAGTCCGTAGCTGTCGTCTTCGACCATGGTGCGCATGGGGGCGTAGTGCGTCTCCGCGGTATCGGAGTCGCGAGTGCGCCCCCCCACTTCGGCAGGTGTCCCCGCTGTTCATCAACTACAATGATCAGCACGCTCTGATATTGAACCGTCTGTGTAGGTATGGCAAAGAAGTCCCCTGGTGGAGTTGCCTCCAACAGTTCCCTTTCATCTTGTAGAACTGCGCGCCGCACCTCCATAACATGCGACTCAATATCAGCTTCTGATTCTTCGTAAATCGTGGGGAACCGTCCGTCACCATGTGCTGGTTCGGCTTCTGAGGCTTCTCTTGCGGTTTCATCCGGCGTCGGCGTATCAGCCAATTTCCCAAATTCTGACATGTCCTCATCAAAACCGGCTTGAGGTTAGTGGACTCCAGGCATTGGATGATTCGTGAATGTGCTGGTCCAGTTATATCATGTATATTCAGAGCAGTACCTTCTGCTTCGTAATAATAAAACCCTGGATTGACGTCGTTGTCGCAGTGAACCAATGAGCAGCTGTCGGCGTAAGTAACCGGAGGTAGCTTATGGAAACTCTTGGCTAATCTGACTGAAACTACATACTCAATGCGAAAGAAATTTCTGATAAGATACGGTAGGGCCGAATGTGCCCTAGGGGATAGACGGCTTGCGGTCGTCATCTGAAGCGCCCCTTCCTTGGTCGGGTCGGCACATAGCCAAAGGTCAAAGCAGGGCCCCCCCGCTGATAGGCTGGCTGCGTATGTCAACACTGTGCGTAGCGCAGTGTTGTCGGAGCCAATTTCTCCGGCTATGAGTGCTTCAGTGTATAATGAATGCCTTGCATCGCCGTACTGTACTTGAACGTCTCGACTGCCCACTCGGATGATGACCTGATCCCTTTCGGGATCATTCTCTACAACTGGGAACGTGCCATTTCAGCCTCCCCAATCATCCTTCGCGGTCGTAGGGCGATGGTAGTCGACCATGTCTCCTTCGTCGTCGTAGTGCTGACCGGAAATTGTCGTAGTGCGTAAGGCACGACTGGGCTTAGCTACTGCTGTGGCCTGTGTGATAGCTTCAATACATGCCCTGCGCATCGTCTGCTCACGAGAATGATCCGATGTTTCCGTCGGCTGCTCGTGGCCCAGAACAGGGAGGTCAGGGAGCATTGCTGGTTGCCGTCCAAATGGAGCGTTGTATGGAGGC